AAATTGAGATAGCACGTCTACATTAGGGAAGCCAGCCTTAGACTCATTTTGAGACTTCCCCTCAGTGTAGATGTGCTATTTCAAAATAAGCTATTTTGGAATAAATATTCCAGAAGAGCTTATTCTGAAATAACTGTGCAGTGTAGACGTACCCTAAGAGTCATGAAAGTTGATGAAAATGATCTTTGTTTTTCTATCCCTGTTCTTACATCACCAGCTTACACAATACAAACAAATCTTCCTCTAGTCTGAATAAAGCAAATAGACATTCCCTTTCTGTACATTTTATGCCATCTGAGAATCTGACCAATTGCTATCACCTCTCAGTGCCCCTTTCCAGTTGTGAAGGGGAAAAAAATAAGAGTACATCCCATCTCACCAAAACCACATATACTTCATTCAGTCTATACTAAACTAAGATGGAAAAAAATACCATGTAGGCTCACAGTGTAAAGTGGTCTCCTCTCTCCATATCTGGCTGCATGACAGGAAGTTGGATTACCCTTTGTGCATTTGAGAGGGACCTCTCTTTCTCATCATTTGTAAGGCACAAAGATGCATATGTGCGTTTTTTTCCTGAGCCTTTAAGGAGCCAGAGGAAAGAAGCATCTTGTGCTTGGCACTTAGCAATTTCCTTGGGTTTAGTGCAATCTGACTACTGGTGCTGAAGTAGCATACCTGTGGCTTGGGAGCAAAAGAAGCATCATTCCTAGACAAGGGGCCATGTAAAAACTGGGAGTTATACTATGCACGTAATAAAAAAATAAGGAGTCCTGTAGCACCTTAAAGACTAGTAGATTTATTTTGGCATAAGTTTTTGACATATGCAGCTGATGAAGTGTTTTTTACCCATGAAAATTTATGACCACATAAATCTGCTAGTCTTTAAAGTGCCACAGGATGCCTAATTGTTTTTGCAGATACAGACTAAAATGGCTACCTCAATGACACTATGTACTTCTAATTAGACTCTTATTAGATTTGCCTTCTATTAACAAAAGATCATTGGAGTCTAACTCCTGCTTCTCTGTATATGTGGGCAATATAGGTAACCTGAAAAAGAACGTTCACCAACCATAAGTCCAATAAAATATATCTCCTCCCTCCTCCCTTGTCTATCTGTAATGGTAGCTAAAGTCTGGTGTCATTGCATCATCAAGTACTAGGGTGCTGCAACATGATGCTCCCTAATTATTTTGGTCCTGTTACTCTCCTGCATTTCTGAGCAAAAACTCACTGAACATCTCTTATTTGTTGGCTGATGGCTTGTGAGATGTATCAAATAAGGAGCTTTTAATATGCTACAGATAAAATAAAAAGGTTTTTAAGGATCATCTAGTGTGACACTATTTGTAATTTTTATATCCTGAATAGCCTTACAAAGCAGCCTATCTTATATTATCCAAACAAACACTTTGTTTATTTTGTGGTCATGTCTGTTTTATTCTAAATAGGTTCTCAATTTGCACTCATCACCATATTATCCCTAAGCACCATTAACTAAGCAACATTACTAACATATGATGTTGGCTCCCTCATCCTCCTCACAGGTGTAGAAATGTGCACCACAGACTATTTTGCTGCTGATTTTTAAAAATGTACAAACATGAATCCCCATAATTATCTGTGTATGTCACAGAAGGTAGGTAAAAATGAACTTTCCACTTAGGCCATTTCTACAATACAGATAAGATCGAAGCAGCCGCAGTCCACCTTCTAGGGTTCAAATTAGCATGTCTAGACAAAACATGCTAATTCAAACTGAAAGGGTGCTCCCATCGATGCTGGTAGTCCTGCTTCTATGAGGAATAAGGGAAGTTGAAAGGAGAGTGTGCTCCCTTTGACTTCCTACAGTGTGGACGGCACCAAAATTCAAGTTAAGATACTTCGACTTCATCTATGCAATTAGCATAGCTGAAGTTGCATATCTTAATTTGAAATTATCCCCTAGAGCAGTGTTTCTCAACCAGTGGTACAAGTACTCTTGGGGTACTCGAGAGATGTCTGGGAGGGGTACATCAACACAACTGAAATTTGGAGAATATTGAATTTTTGTTTTAAATTTTACACCACTTTATTATTTTTGTACTTTTTACACCCAAAAATTTCATCACCTGCCTGGCTACAATTAAGTTGTTCAAACAAATGTGTTGCAATTGTAGAAAAAAAATTCATGTGTCTGAAAACTGTAGGTAAAGTAGACTTCCGATAATCCGGAACCTATGGGACCTAGGTGGTGCCGGATTATCAAATATCCCGGACTATCAGGAGGTACTATAAGATGGTTATATATATACACTTTATACATTATATACTGTGTATAAAGTGTTCTTAACCCTTTTTATTGTACATACTGTATACAGTATACTGTAATGTTTTACTGTTTTTAAGCCTTTTTTTTTACCCTTTTTGCTCAGTTCAGCTGCTGCCACTGTTACTTTGTAACTCATTTTTTGCCGAAGCTCACTCACTAGGCTCTTGCCATTTTGATGTTGGACTATCAGGAGTGCTGGACTATTGGATGCCGGACTATTGGAGTTTTACTGTACTGGGGGCATTTATATTTTTTTTGAAAAGGGCGGTACTTTATTTTAAAAAAAGTTGAGAAACACTGCCCTAGAGTAGACCATGGGTTAGAGCCAAAAGTGGCAAGGTTTATTTTGGTCCTTAATATCTGGGGGAATATACTGCAGTCTTGGCCCAATTTCTGAGAAAGCTCTGTCTCAAGCACAGGTGATCTTTGTCCTTATTATAGAAAATTTCATTGTGGCACAAGAGTGAAGATATCCATTGGGATCTTCATCTTGGCGATGTCTCTACCCAGCACAAATGAGTACCTCCAAATTTGGGGTAGTGGGAAACAGCACCCTGGGTACCTAAGTCAATCCTATCCTGGTGATTTATTTTCTACAGCTTGCACTACCCATAGAATGGCCACTTATGCATTCCCAGCAAATAGTACTATCTGGTACTTCAGGGAACATGCAGCATACTGTCCAGATGCCACTTTGAAAACCATACTCCACTCTGCGACCTGGAAAGACAGAGTGGTGTTAGGGTTACCAGGCGGCTTAAAAAAAATACTGGACACACTTGGTTTCAGATGGGGAAGGCGGGACACACACCGGCCAGGAGGGGAGCAGGGCTGGCCAGGAGGATGTGTGGGGGCCAGAACTGGCTGGCGGGAAGCAGGGCTAGTGGAGGGAGGGGGGTCAGGAGCAGCAGGGCTGGCTG